TGAGGATTTTACTCATGCATAAAGGATGCTCTAACAGCTGGAACATCAGCCATTCTCAGCTCTGTCCTAATTGGTATGAACAGAATCTCCTGCTGAAAGCTGAGGAGCACTGTTCCTCTCCTGCACAAACAGTTGCCTCTGCCAGGATCAACTGAACTCAGCAGAAAAATAAAGGATATAAAGGATATAAAGACTTATCCTGTATGAATGTATGCATTCGTCAGTCTTCAAGACATTTTTGAAGGCAATTTTAAACCCTATTGCTTGTAAATATTTAAACGTTACTAGTGACAGTGCACTAAGAGAGCAAATTAGACAAAAACATTTTGGGGGCCCAACTTTTTACCCAAGATTCACTGAAATAAAATTTTCTTCAGTTAGCTAGATCTAGACCAGGTAACCAGGTTTTCAGATGTTAAATACTAGTATATGACTGACAAAAACCGCAAGATGGGTAAATTAACCCCTTTAAATGGCCAGGGTGGGCCCAAAGTTTTATTATACAATTCTATAACCTAAGAATAGCTCGATCAGTTTGTATTGAAGTCCCTGTAGCTACTGAAGCCTTAGTATGTAATAAGCCAATGTCCAATAGAAGTCCATGTTAAATTTTAAGTGGTGACCTGTGTTGATGCATCTGTCTGTTGTTCTGTATATGGATAAGAAAGTACCCAAAAATTGGTATCTTGTCATGTGAAATGATCCTAAATCTAGTCACACATAGATATATCTAGTATTTCCCATTTTTAGATGGCTGTGCACTTATCATAAGATTATCTAGCTTATTTCTAGACACTTTTCACTTGTTTTAAGTAAGTTTATTAAGCAATCTGCCTATATAATGAGATAATTTTACTTAATAAAAATAAAACAGGTAAAAAATGGCTATAAATAAGGTAGATAATCTTAAATTTAACTTACAACAATATCAACAGGAGAAATATTAGATTTATTAATTATATTTAAGATCATTTTACTTGACAAGATACCATTTTTTGCAGTGTTGCCATAGAAACCTGCATGTTTTGTTGCATAGGCTATCTGTGCAGGCCAGTACACACTCCATTGCCGCAGAACTGGGAAAGCAGAGGTGTATGTTCAATACATGTCCATTATTTAGGAGGCATCTTGATGTAGAGGGAAATCTAGGTTATTCCACTCTGTAAAAGAGTGGTTTCCTTTACTGACTGAAATGTTTTTGGTCGATATAGATAGGAAACACCAGGAAAATGCACCACACAGTTATATTGTTGACATTCCATTAGCATAATGTGTATGACCAGCCAGTGCTGGCCATGGCTCCAAATCAAGATATCAAAAAAAAGTCAGTTTGATCCGTGTCAAATTGATACATTATCTTCTAGTGCTGAATATGCATTAATACCCAAAATAACAACTCCAGACATCTATAATTACCTTGTAAACACTGCATCAGCCTATACATCACAGGAGCTAAAAGCACACAAATTTGCTGGAATTCTATGAGTATTTAGTCTGTGGAATGGTTGATATTGTGTCTTTTATACTAGATTACAAAAGTCAATCATCAATCAGTGTCAATTGTGAGTCTTCAATACTCAACTACCAAAGAAAACCTTCACCTAATAGTGAACTTACAGCAAAATGATGAAAGCAAACTTTGGTGTAGGGAGAAGGATGAAAGTATTTTCTGCTTATTCTCAATATCCAAACATTTCCCTTCACTGGCTCAACTCTTCAGCCTCTTTCCCATCATAATATCGAACAGCCAAGATGCCTTAAAATCTTACACCGTTTTGCGTTTTGTTGCTGTTGTCACTACAACATGAACCACCCAGCACACCACGGTTATATTTTATCTATCAGGATGCTTTATTAACTAATGGCATACAAATTGTGGCTCTCTGTGGGCTGCTCTTATCACAGCGCTGACCGGTGGTATGTCAAGCAAAACCCCTCAGCTGTGGGTAAATCACATTGCATGCGTACCTCCTCAGAGAAGAGTGCTTCTCATGCCTGCAGACCAAGAACTTTAGCTTAAATAAAGTTAATATTTGGTTTATTTTAGACTCATCTCCTCATTATTACTAATAATCTTCAAAAATGCACGTCTTTTGCCAGGAATTAAAGAAATATCTTTTCAAGTGTTTAAATGTAGCCAACAGCTAGGCTTCGCTATAAAAAGTTGTGATGTTTGCTCAAGTTTAAAACTTCCCTTTAACAGTGCTGCATGAGAAAGAGGAATAAGTTTTAGGTGAAATCTCAAGTGCATCTCTACATGCTGTGAAACTATAGATACATTTGACCTTAAGTTGGCAGCAGCCATAAAAACAGACAATATAACATGCGGTTAGGAGCCATGACAGCAAATCTGTTTTCTTCAGCATACAGCTTTATTTAAGGCTCCTCTAAAATATGCAGTAGGTAGCGTTTGGATTAGTCTGTCATGTGATGTGATAATGCAAATGTAGGTTCTGCACAATATTAGCATGTATAGCAATATATGACCAAAACTTGGCTCAGATAGTACCTATAAAATACATATTACGGTATTTTTTACTCTTAGTGGTAATAATAGAGGATACAAAAATAGCTTAGCTACAAGGACAAGTAGAGCTAGCAGAGTTATGGTGGCTAGCAAGCTAGTTCCTCGCTAGCTGTCAAGAAAAGCTAATGTTAGCAGATGGCCAGTGTCATATACTGAAAAAAAACATTCTATACAAGTAACCTAAACTACATAAGTCAACTGGGGTGCCAAATTAAAAGAGAAGCAAAAACATTTCCATTTAAAATACAAATGTAGGTTAGCTAGCTAATCCAAAAAGGTTTTTCTTCACAGTGATTGAAAATGTAATAAGCGAGTTAAGCCTGAGATGGTGTCAACAGTTTGGAAATAGTGTGGCTTATTCTAGGGATGTGCAAAAAAGATCTTTTTGACATGGATGGGAAGACATATTTTAGTATTTACTACACAAATTATTTACCGCATGTATTTTAAGAACCCTAATCTTTCATCTTTCCTTCACTCGGGAGAGTTTAAGTTAATATGGGGCGGACCTCCACAACCCCCTGTAAGTGATGGTACTCTCTCACTATCTTGCTGTATTATTTTTCATTATTCTTCACTTTAGCACTACCAGAGGGTTTTGATGTGCAAGTCACTTCCTTAACTCAAACAAACACATGCTAATTTGCTATTAGCCTCTAGCATAGTCACAGAGTGCCAGGGCACAGAATTCCTCCAAAAGACCCTAACTGTCAGCACAGTTAACGTAAGAAATGTTAAAGCCACATATAAACATGAGCGAAATGTATTTTTACTGACGGTAACGTTTAGGGACATCTTTCCTTCTTTTGACTTTTTCAGAGTAATTTTTGATTTTCACTGTGACTTTTTGATTAAACAGGAAAAAAAACAATTGCTTTGTTAATATCAAACAGCAATTTGCTAACACTTATTTAGCTTATATACACTATATGGCCAAAAGTATGTAGACACCTGACCATTACACCTATAAGAGCTTCTTAGACATCTCGTTCCAAAACGTGGACATTAGTATGGAATTGGCCCTGTCTTTGCAGCTGTAACAGTGTCCACTCATCTAGGAAGGCTTTCCACAAGAGGTTGAAGTGTGTATGTGGGAATTTGTGTCCATTCAGTCAAAAGAGCATTTGTGAGGTCAGACACTGATGTTGGACAAGAAGGCCTGGCTAACAACCGACATTCTAATTCATCCCAAAGGTGTTCAGTGGGGTTGAGGTCAGGGCTCTGCAGGCCACAACAAACACATCAAACCATGACTGTATGCAGCTTGCTTTGTGCGCAGGGACACAGCTGGAACAGGGAAGGGCCTTTCCCAAACTGTTGACACAAAGTCAGAAACATATGTCTGAAATGTCTTTGTATGCTGTAACTTTAACATCACTTCACTGGAACAAAGGGGCCCAAACCCTGAAAAACAGCTGTGGACCATTATCCCTCCTCCATCAAACATTACTGTCAGCACTATGCATTCCAGTGGGTAGCATTCTCCTGGCAATTGTTATACACTATGCGCTTCAGCATTTGGCAGCCCCACTCAGTGTCTACTGCTTCGAAACTGAGCTGTTGTTGCTCCTTGATGCTTCCATTTTTTAATAATAGCACTTACAGTTGTCTGGGGCAGATCTAGCAGGACAGGAACTTCACAAACTGACTTGTAACAAAGGTGGCATCCTAAGACAGTGCCACATTTAATGTCACTGTGCTCTTTAGTACAACCCATTCTACTGCCAATATTTGTCTATGAAGATTACATGGCTATGTGCTTGATTTTATACAAATGTTGGCAATGAGTGTGGCTGAAACACCTTAACTCAATAATTACGAAGGGTGTTGACATACCTTTGGTCATATAATGTATATTTGGCTTCAACTAGTGATAGTGCTGTGATTTGGCCCAGCTAGCTAGGTTAGGCCCACGTTCATCACAGATTTACTTTCAATGTTACAATTTTACGAATAAATAACCAAAAACTAAAATAAGTGAACATATGAAAATGCCCCCGCTATATATATGGCATATTTGCAATTCCATTTTTGACCAATCATTGTCCCAGTTTCACCAGTACTGTGTTTTATAAGCGTCACAGTCTCCTGAGCCACCAAGACCCTCAGACACCCAGGTATAGTTTTAAATCTGCAAAGGCATGAATACTACAAATCACCAGCATATTAAAGTTATCTTGGTCATTGCTGCTCCTGTGCACAAAGCAAGATTTACAAGTTTAGAGTTTTTCTGTTATGAGCTCAGAGTTTTAAGTGTTCTGGCCGACTATTAAGCTGGTGTTTCCTACTGCAGTTTTTTCTCATGTTGCAATGTTTGAACGACGCTTAGCTTACGCCTCATTCATGACTTATTCTTTGATTTTGTTGCCTATATTGTACTGTACTTTTGAATTTTGATGTTGATTCTAAGTGTCTTTTCAGCACAACCACAGAAATAATTGTCTTCCTCTATTAAATCATTCTTATAACTCACATGAAGTGTCCTGTGTCATTGCCTCCTACACCCGGAGACTTCAGCTTCTGAACCAGGATCCGGATCACGTTCAGGAAGATAATGATGTTGGCCTGATAGAAAGTGAATACAGCTTTAATTCCACTGCATTTCTCTAGAGAGAAAAGAGGATACAAACTGGAGACAGTGTGCCAAAATTTAACCCTCAGAAGAGTTATTACCTGCTTTTTGGCATGTTATTCAAACATAATTACAGAATTACATTTATTTACACAGTAATTACAGAATTCTTTACACCTTAATTCAATTTACATTTTACACTGACAGGTTTAAGTCATGACTTTTTTTGTTTGTTTTGATGACGTGATAAGGCAAAAATGTAATGTTAACTTTTATCAAATTCAATTCATAATAAATGAATTTTCCACTTACAAACACAAATATGGTATGAACTCAATGTTTCTGTATTTTTACAGAAAGAGTCTGTATTTTCAACAGAATATCTCTGCTTGTTTTAACAGTACTACAGAATTACCCCATGCTTTTGTTATCACCCACAAAGATGTCAATGTCCCCAATAGTGTCTCAAATGGATTAAAATGATAAATCAGATGATACTTTGCATCCTTACTCACAAACAAGGATGCTGTTATCGGTCCTTTGATGATCCACCAGACGCCAATGTTATCAGTGTCATCCCAGCATCTGTAAAATGAAAATATCATCAGACTAGACACTGATAATGAAAAACACATAAAGCAAGCCACCACATGCCATAATAAACTCTCCTATCATTAAGAAAACATTAAAAATAAAGGTTGCTAAATGGATCTCGGTTTGGGCATATGGTTCTAGGAAAAAGTCCAATCATTGTAGAGGTTCTTTAACCTTAAAAAGGTTCTTCTCAATTACAAAAATTGTTCTTTTAAGAACCAGTCGTGGAAATGTTCTTTAGTAATTCTTCCAAAGCATCACTCCAAAGAACCCATTCTGGCACCTTTACTTTTAAGAGTAGGAGAAAGAAAAACATTCCAAGCTTGAATTTACTTTAACCCATTAATGCCTTGATGTTTTCATTCCTTTGGTTCTAATGTTCTGAGCTTCTCTGAGCATATATCCGAAGAAATTTTTCCAAATCAATCCAACCATACACCAAAAAAGTGAGTTTTTAACCCTTATCCCTTTCTAACCGAACATCTGAACCAATCCATTCTGAGAATTTGGCCTCTTAAATCTGCTGCCAGAGGAGTTATAATTCTTTCATGTCGGCGCAGCACATAATAAAAATATATGGGCTTGTAGAATCAATGCCTACCATGTGCTACTGTGTTTTCTGTCACTGTATAAAAGATGCACGAGGCTTCCTTCATCGTTTCTGAGTGAGTGCGTGAGCTCGTTCAGAGCACACTTCAGATTGGTAAGAACTTTTTGTTTTGTTTCGTTTTTGTTTAAACAGAGTAACAATAAAATGCATCTGGTGTATGATTTACAATCCTATTCATATGTTCTTGTTCAAAAGGGTAGTTTGGGACACTAAATAAAAATCTTGTCATTTGTGTCTTTGTTAGATCACACTCTTTATCAAACAAATGCTTTAAGAAATCATGTGATTAATGGAGAATAAAGGGTTAAGCAGCAGACATGGTCACATTTTTGTATCTTGGGGCTTTAATGTACCCTATTAAATGTAATTTTTTGATCAGATCTGTCTGATTTAACTACAGAAAATCTCAATTTAATTGTGAATAAGAATGTAAAAATGACAATCACAAATGTTCAAATGAGTAGTTAGATATTAATCCGAACTATCCAAGCTATACTATACAAAATGTTCATAGCTTTAGACCAATCAGAGCAAGTTCTGTATTTTTCCTCTTCATGGAGGAACTACTTAGAATAAAATTTTGTTCATTTATGTGCAACAAGTAAATTTCACGAAATGTTCACGCAATGTAAAGGTCGGCTGGTGTTTTCAAACAATGTAAACTCTCTCTATTTGTTGATTGGTAAAGGTTATCTTACCCTCTGTTGTCGTAAAAGTTTCTTGTCAAAACCCAAACGATAAGGACAACTGATGGCACACCTAAAACACAGAAGATGAAGCTTACTGCCAGCTTAGCTCTCATAATAACATTTATGAAAACAAAACAAATGGAATTGTGAAAGAAACACACTCAATAAATATGATTTATGACTTTGATCCCATTCCAGGGCATTTTCAAGAGAGCGCGCTCTCTTTGAAGCTAATTAGATGCAGGCTTTGTTCTGAGCTCAGAACTTCTTTCCATGATGCACTGACCCCATCCTATCAGGATGTACCACCAGAAGTACTTCCTCTGGGAGACGAAGGTGAGTGCCAGCAGCGTCTGCAGGTACATGCCCTCCACCAGCAGCCAGAAGTAATTAGCCAGGATGCTGAACTGGAAGAAAGCTACAGCGCTCTTACACGCCATCTGGAGAGAACAGCATGCAGAGAAACGATGAAGACAAAGCCATCCAGATGCATTAACACAGTTACAGCGCTTAAGTCAGCTTATATACACGTCTAACTGAGGAGGGTTTTCAGGAGGAGAGGGAGTTTAAAGAGCTTATTAAGGTTCTGAACTCATTCTTTCTCTTAGGATGATTTTATAAAGCTCCCCTAATACGTGAACAAGATCAGAACAGTCATTCATTCATTCATTCATTCATTCATTTGGACAATCTGCCTGTCTTTCTCACTGCCTGCCAATCTATCTATCAATCTATCTGGCTATCCATCTATGTGTCTGTGTGTCTATCTATCTATCTATCTATCTATCTATCTATCTATCTATCTATCTATCTATCTATCTGTCTGTCTGTCTGTCTGTCTGTCTGTCTGTCTGTCTGTCTGTCTGCCTGTCTGTCTGTCTGTCTATCCATCTATGTGTCTGTGTGTCTATGTATGTATGTGTCTATCTATCTATCTATCTATCTATCTATCTATCTATCTATCTATCTATCTGTCTGTCTGTCTCTCTGTCTGTCTTTCTGTCTGTCTGTCTGTCTCTCTATCTATCTGTCTGTCTGTCTATCAATCTATGTGTCTGTGTGTCTATCTATCTATCTATCTATCTATCTATCTATCTATCTATCTATCTATCTATCTATCTCTCTCTCTGTCTGTATGTCTGTCTGTCTGTCTGTCTGCCTCTCTATCTATCTGTCTGTCTCTCTATCCATCTATGTGTCTGTGTGTCTATCTATCTATCTATCTATCTATCTATCTATCTATCTATCTATCTATCTATCTGTCTATCTATCTATCTGTCTGTCTGTCTGTCTGTCTGTCTGTCTGCCTGTCTGTGTGTCTGTCTATCCATCTATGTGTCTGTGTGTCTATGTATGTATGTGTCTATCTATCTATCTATCTATCTATCTATCTATCTATCTATCTATCTATCTATCTATCTATCTGTCTGTCTGTCTGTCTCTCTATCTATCTGTCTGTCTGTCTATCCATCTATGTGTCTGTGTCTATCTATCTATCTATCTATCTATCTATCTATCTATCTATCTATCTATCTATCTATCTCTCTCTCTCTCTGTCTGTATGTCTGTCTGTCTGTCTGCCTCTCTATCTATCTGTCTGTCTCTCTATCCATCTATATGTCTGTCTTTCTATGTATGTGCCTGTCTGTCTGTCTCTCTATCTATCTGTCTGTCTGTCTATCCATCTATGTGTCTGTGTCTTTGTATGTGTCTGTATCTTTCTATGTTTGTGTCTGTCTGTCTGTCTATGTATGTGTCTGTCTGTCTGTCTATCTATCTATGTGTCTGTCTGTCTGCCCATCCGTACACAGAAATTGTGTACTAAAATTTGCACAAACATTTCAGATTTGAGTATTAACTTATTTTCACATCAACAAAATATGGAATTTGACTGGTGGTGTTTTTGCGTATGATATGATCTTATATAATAATAATAATAATAATAATAGTAATAATAATAATTTGTTAATAGTAACATCACATATAGTTTGTGTTATAATAGTCCAGTCCTCCTGACACATTTTCCTCTAGAATTACCCACATGAAGCGCCGTGTGAACTGTTTTACTGTAAGGCTGTCTGCGTGTCTATGTGGCTGTCAGTTAAATAACATGACCCATTTCCCTCCAGAGAGCTTTCCTCGCCTCTCTGCCTCAGTACAGAAACAGAATAGTGCTACAGTACAACCATGTTCATATCTCACTCATCATCACAGCCCACCACTGACCCTCCACAGTCCCACTGAACAGCACGTCAGTAATGAACACCATGGCACACACATATCAAACATAACAATAGCAGGACAAATAAAATACTAAAAGGTACAAAAGTGATCATTCCAGTTTAGACTGCATCATTGTACTTGTGTTCATACTGAGGAATTTCTCCAGATGTACTAAATATTTGGAATATTTATTAAGTACACCTCCTTGTATTTTTATCAGCTCCACAAACCACTTTGTAGCTCTACAATTACAGACTTCAGTCAATCTGTTTCTCTGCACACTTTGTTTAGCCTCCTTTCACCCTGTTCATCCACAGTCAGGAACATCAACAAGACAAAGTCATAAAAGAGTTCATTCTTTTTTCAGAAAGAGCCTCCATTATTAAGACTTCTTGTAACAATGATCCTGGTAACAACTGTAACCTGCCTAGTCTGGACAAAGTAATAATGTCATTTAAAAATCAGATGAACAAAATTATATTTACAATAGACAAAAACAGTAAATCATTCCAATTTCACAGGAACACAAGCAGAGGGTTAACAGTGGTACCTGTTCTTCTCAGTAATGCAATAAGGTGTTACATATGGTCAACCTAAAAAATGTAATAAATTCCCAATAATGTTATAAAGTATTACATTATCAGTAAAAATCTTATTACATTCATGGTTAAGACTGTAATACATCATTAGGCACGTTATTACATTTTTAGGTTTATTCCATTTTTGACCAAGTTAAGTATAAAGTGTTATTCCATTTGTGGCCGTTATTACATTTTAGTGAAATTATTACATGATTAGATTTTACAAGGTGTTTAAAAACTCCAGCAGCACTGAGACTTGGGTCATGACTATTGAAAAACAGCGTGAAAGGTCTAACAAAGTATGCAGAGAAACAGATCACAGTCTGTAACAAAGAGTGTAGAAATGAGAAGGTGTACTTAATGACGTGGTTGGTCAGTGTTTCTGTCTTTTATCTATGTAGCTATATATATAGTATATCTGTCTCTCAAACATGTTGTGAAGACCAAGTGAAGGTTATATTTATGCAGAAATATAGAAAAGCACACACATATACATATATATATATATATATATATATATATATATATATATATATATATATATATATATTCCTCCATATCCTCATATGTCATTTGATATAATTTGAAAATGCCTGTTGTCCTTTACATTGTGTGTAAATTTAATAATAAAAAATGGGCCAAAATGAGTTGGAAAATGTTTGGTTCCATTGACTTACGTTAAAAGTAAAGTGATTTTTTCCTTCTTCTATAAAGTTATCTTTTTGGAGATATGAGATTTTGTCCCAAAAACAATGTTCCTTGTTTTCCCTTTGTGTATTTATACCCCCATCCTTGGTTCAGTCTTTTTCTTGCACTTTCTCTTGCTTGATATCTGTACCCTGGTTTCTGTTTTTGTTACGTTATGGATTTGTTTCTTTCATGGACCTTTGTTATTCTGTTTTTTGGATTTTGTTACGTTTTTGGTTTTGTAATAAAAGCAACTCGCACATGTGTCCAGCCTCTACACCTCCTTCGTGACATTTCACGAAGTTGAGATGCTTGCAGCTGATGCAGCCACGTTTCTAATGAGTGGCAGGTGATTTACCTTGTGCAAGTACATTTGCATTAAAGTTTCATTATGTTAAAGCCAGCCTTTTTGTATTCAAGGCACACAAAAAGGCTCAAAGAATTGAGGATCTACAGACAAATGAAGTACCCTCCCTCTGTCTCTCTCACCGTGGACATGAAGCAGTGGTCCAGGGACTCATCAGAGAACAGAACAGCGTCTTTGATGAAGACGGCACTGGCCCGGAGAATGAAGGAGGCAAAGAGGTTGATGTGTATGTAGTTCCTGGTACAATGGAACTTCCTGGAATAAATATAGTTATGCCTTAGAAATAGGTTCTTAAAACTCGATAGGAATGACGCACAAAAATGCTCTTAACAGACGTGCATTACAACAAATTAACTAAAGGTTCATAATGTTCCAAACAACAATCGTACCTGAAGGACGTGAAGACTATGATAGCCGTTATGAGAGATATCAGTGATGTGGCATATCCTGCTGTGTATACTTGCTTGAATGTTGAGAAGTAGGTTGTCTGCAAAAACAGAAACAGGGCAAAAATAACCAGTCAGTGGCCATGTTTACTTAGATTGAGCTGCACTGACTCACATCATACATTGCTGCAGAGTCTTCCCTCTTCTTATGATGAAAGAGACAGTGATGACCATCATGTTCATCCATCAAAGAGAAGAAAGTATCTAAGATGACAGTGTAGACATTAGGGTCAACGGGGCACAACAACTACTTCAAACAGAAACCCATTCACCTCAGATTCAGGTTCTGCGTCATCTCCAAACTCGCAGGCTTCTTCATAAGGGGGATACAGGTCACTCCAGCCTGCCGCTGTGCAGTTCCTGTAGATGTAACCTGGAAGGTTCAGTGGATCTGTTACCGTTCATTTTTCCTGGAAAAATCACCCTAACTGGATTTCTATAATTCATGGTTTTATATCATCACTATTGTAACAAATCCCCTTGTATCCAAAATAAGAAGAAAACGAAGTTCTTAACCGTAATATTCTATTTCTTGACTTTTTTTTTCATTTTTTTTTTTACATAAAAGTCATACATCAACATCAAAGTTTCAGAACATACAGTCCATACAGTGCATATATGGAAACAAACCTGCAAAAACATCTGTTTTACATTTACATCACAAAATCCAATTGATTTACACATCTTCACTCTCAAGACAAAAGCTTGTATCTGAATTTTTGTTGTTTTTAATTTTTTGACGATTTGAAAACTGTAGCGTATGTTGTGTCAAAATGTCATGATGACTGGACCAACAGAAATGGTTCAAAATTACATAACCTTTACTAAAAGTTAAGATTGTTTTGTCCTTGTCCTGTAAAGTTCCTTTTTTAGAGATATGAGGATTTGTTCTGACAGCAGCGATATATCTGCCTATTCAGCCTATAGAAGTTCAGCCTCACCTATTTAGAGGTCTGGTACCCGACCCAAGCAGGCCCACAGAATATCAAGCTTCAGGCCAGTTTTTCACATACAACTTCAGCTATGGGTCAGGCTGGGGTTCGATCTTAATCCTAAAGAGTGATTTGTTTATGTAGTAGATTTGTTTTTATTTGAAGGATTGTGCCCATGAAAAGTTCATGCACTCTCAAGCATTCTTTCATGCGTTCTTTAGTGCAGTGGGGCTAAGAGTTGATCATAGTAGGGTGGATGCTGTTCTCTGGCAGGTAAAATCAGCAATTCAGCAAAAATATACTGATAATAAATACCTCATGCATGATAGATGTGCAAAACACCAGTTTATCCCAGCATGACATCTCGGTTAGTGTGTGGGATTAGGTTTGAGCTGGGATTGGGCTTCAAATTTAGTAGTACCAATCACAAAGTCATGGGTTCAAGCTTCAATTTTATGTCAGACTTGAAGTCAAGTCATTAGAAGTGTCATTTCAATGTGGACTGGTTTGGAATGATGCACCACACGTAACAGCCAATCAGAACAGTCAGTCAGACATACACCGATCAGACATAACATTATGAGCACCTCCTTATTTCTACTCTCATTGTCCATTTTATCAGCTCCACTTATATATAGGCGCACTTTGTAGTTCTACAGTTACAGACTGTAGTCCATCTGTTTCTCTGCATACTTTGTTAGCCCCTTTTACCCTGTTCTTCAGTGGTCAGGACCCCCATGGACCCTCACAGTGCAGGTATTATTTGGGTGGTGGATCATTCTCAGCACTGCAGTAACACTGACATGGTGGTGGTGTGTTAGTGTATGTTGTGCTGGTATGAGTGGATCAGGCACAGCAGTGCTGCTGGAGTTTTTAAACACTGTGTCCACTCACTGTCCACTCCTACCTTGTCGGTCCACCTTGTAGATGTGAAGTCAGAGACGATAGCTCATCTGCTGCTGCACAGTTTGTATTGGTCATCCTCTAGTCCTTCATCAGTGGTCACAGGATGCTGCCCACAGGACGCTGCTAGCTGGACTATTCTGCAGCAGCACTGATGTGTCTGATCCACTCAGACCAGCGCAACACACACTAACACACTACCACCACGTCAGTGTTACTGCAGTGCTGAGAATGATCCACCACCCAAATAGTACCTGCACTGTGAGGGTCCATGGGGGTCCTGACCACTGAAGAACAGGGTAAAAGGGGCTAACAAATTATGCAGAGAAACAGATGGACTACAGTCTGTAATTGTAGAACTACAAAGTGCACCTATATAGTAAGTGGAGCTGATAAAATGGACAATGAGCATAGAAATAAGGATGTGGTCATAATGTTATGCCTGATCGGTGTATAAACACATTGGTGAGAACACACAGCCACTGTTGCTCTCATTGGATGTCTACCATGACAACTGGAAGCAAACATGAATTATGACTGTTGGTTGATATATATAAAACATCATAAACAGACCTTGGGGTCCTCAGGGTCCACCTATAACAATATAATAAGATTTTTTCCCAGTTTAGACCCTTTCTGTTGGTCAGTTCATCATGAAATGTTCACACAGTATAAAGGGCCACTGATGTTTTCAAATGATATAAAAAACTCATGACAGTGATAATACATTGCCAAGATAATCATCTCTAAGTACCATGAATGGTGTCTAGTTCTGTCACTCTGCCAAGTACTAAGGGAATTAGGTTTGCCCTTTTGAGACTTCAAGCTGTTAACAAGTCAGAAGTGCATTGTCCAGAGTGTTAAATCACTCAGAGGAAAAGTCCACAAACACATTGTGCGAAACGACATGGTTCACTTCCAGAACTTCCCCACACTTCGGTACTTAAAAAGTACTTTAAAATCTAAATGGAAGAGCGCAGAGTCTTAATTTATGTAATGGACAGCCATTTCTATCTTTTGTCTTTTGTAATAAATCTTGTGGCAAATGGCTGCTATAGACTAACACCACTCAAACTTCCTTTTAATAAAAATTCTTTGTGAACTTGCTGCTGTCCCACACGTCATCACATCTGAATCATATGAATATTTTAGCCATATATCAACACATACAAACACATATGTGTAATATAAATTTAACAATATATGATAGAAAACAGTATTCATATCATTATTCATATATATATATTCAACCATCAGACATTTATATATGATTCTTTTATTATACATAATTATTATACATATAAGTTCAATATTTAAACCGTACATATATGTATACAACATACATGTACACATGTTTTAAAATACATGCATGACCCATGTCAGATTTCTATGGGCACTTCCACAGTGGTTAGTTCTACAATATTAACAGTAAGCAACAGTTAATACTGTATACTGTATACTTTCCACAGTTGGAATGTTATCAGCTGTAATAGTAATGCAACTCAGTTGCCAACAATTTACAGTACTTAGTCTTACGGTATGCGTTTTACAAATAACAGCACAAATTGAACTACAAGATAAAAAGTTTCATGGTTACAACTAAAAATGTTAGTTAACCTGATCAGACTTTGAATTATGTAATGTATCTAATATTAGCAGTAAATTGCAGTAGTTAGTGTAATTTGGCGCTGTTCAACTCTGACATGTTGCAGTTGCTGTCAGATCCTTCAGTACTGAAAACTCAATGTAAGACCATCTTTTGCTGGTAACTGGCTTATATATGTTTTTGATGATCAAGGTGAATGACAAGCTGGACATCAATTTGTGTAACAAATTATCCCCAGGCCTGTAGGCAAAGCTTTGGACCAGATGCCCCTTAACAATAATTAAGAGAACAATCACAAGACAAGCCTAGCAAGACCCCACGTACCAGTATATATGGTAATACCAGTGTATTTTGGAAGTCTCTGCAGGCTCATATTTTGACCATATCTGAAACTTAAACTCAGTATTTATAGAAACAGCTGGGGAGCTGATGTTTCACACATACTTCTTCTGTGTGACATGAACGATGCATCTATTCTCACATTCAGTGCTGGCACTCTGGAATGGTTCAGTGGGCTAATACTAGGAATCAACACCACCTGTAACCAAGGTGAACAGACATCCCTTTTCCGAATGGATACATAGTCAAATCAGTTACTTCACTTTTCTTAATAAAAATATAATTTGTAAAAGAGCACATGGGATGTGGCAGTTTTCTGATTGGGCAATCGTTTCCTGCCGGAAGATCTATCAGAACATGTGAATGATGAACAAAATGTTTAACTAGTATTTAATTTAATAACAACCATGAATTGTGGAATTCATGTTTTTTTATGTTTTTACTCACTATTTGTTATGTTTTCATTGGTTTTCAGAGTTTATTTAAGTTGATTTTTTGCCGTGTGTGTCACTTGCGCCTATTCTCTATTCGCACAAACATCTGTGCCACATCTGGAAAACTGCTGCACTGCTTGGATATGCAAGTGCATGCTCTGCACATCCAGACACTATGCCACTAAAACACAGCCTATGCTGAGCAACCAACTTAGCTGGCCTACCAACTTAAACAGTTTAGCTAGTCCAGCTGGATGTCCAGCACACTTGAACAGCTTTGTCTAGTATATCAGGCTGGAAGATGAGCTTAACATTCAAACTCAAACAAAAACATGCCCAGCTTCACCAGTCTGAGCTGGTCAAGCTGGGTTTTTATAGCAGGGAGTTTTCAGCATTAATTTCCTGCTACTGACTTGGACTATGTTGTTGCAACTAATCAAAAAATGACAGGTTGGAAATGGCAACTACAAGTTAACAGTGGTTTAAATTAATACCCATTCCAAATTTAGGTCTTTTTCTTTTTAGGTTGAATGGGATTTTTGCCAACACTCTGTAAAGCCTGTCTAGCCTGGCAACATCCCTTCAACATTGATTTTTACTATAAAATCTTGAATACAGCATTTAATGTGTAAAAAGCCAGCATACTACACAGCATACAATAGCTTTACATGTCCAGATTGCTCGGGAAGTAAGACAGATGTGCACGAAGAGTCAGTGAGAATTCTGTTCTCTCTGATCAGCCCCAGAAGTACCTGATCCCTGTGATTAAGACTTTAGGTCGGTTTACCACAGCGCAGGCCCCGTGGTCAATAACCCTGCTCTACACTGGGAGCTGCTCATTTTAAGCTCTAACCACTCGCAGTGGATTTAAGAACACTGACATAAGCAGCCAGATTAGAGAGAATGTGTAATCCTGTGTCTCTTGTGGTTTTGGAAAAAAAAAAAGTAATCAAAGGATCACAATTGGGGGCAAGCTGTGATGTCATCAGCCTCCACTACTGGACTAGATGAAATGTGTTTGTGGATTTTTTAATAATGCGATCTTGTGGAAATATCTTCAAGTCCAATGTAGCGGAAAACATGCCATCAAAAATGACATTTTTTTCAAAATCCTTATGTTTCACACCGTACCTTTAATCTTTTGCTACTCGCATTCACGACAAAGGATTAAAATATCCTTCCTGAATATATGCTCTACTGGGTTGAGTATGTAATCTGTAAATGCACTGTATGCTTGTTTGATTTAAAATCACAGATTAATAATCTGACTGTGTCTTTATCCAAGCCCTTCATTATTTCTAAGGCGTTTAGATAAATTTAGATCCCAGCAATCCACTTCAGTCTGGACCCACACCAACTTATCCAGCATTACCGTTTGAAAAAGCATCAAAGGTTCTGTTGGGAAGATGAGGCTTAAGCAAGTGCAGTGAGCATCTAACATTAAATGCACAAATCCATGAAGGGCAATCTGGCAACACAGCAATGAACACATCACTTCAGTGACCGAACCTCCGTAATTCCACTTTGAAATCATGAAAAATGTCTGCTACCAAAGTAATACAGTGCCAAACTTTAACAGACTGATATGCTAATAGAGATATGAATGCATACAACTGATCTGAGCTTCTAACACTGCTGCGCATTAATTAGCATATGCATTGCGTAGCATTACTTGAGACACCAAGAAGAACGTACCTTGGTTGTAGCTGAGAACCATGCAAGGAAATATAGCAGCCATTAACTGACTAATTATTCTAAACAATCTCAATGATTTATTATGAAGGCTTGATCTATTGTCTCTTGACACCACTCTGTCTGTAAGTGCTGTTAATAATACATCAACCATGAAAGTGCACATGATTAGGATGCTAATCACCGTTCTAATAAACAGCTGACAGGAAAGTTAACAAAAAAAAAAGTCGTGTACTGTTGGCATTTCCATGCACTTTTGGAATCTTTTTCAATATGAGAACTGTTACTTGAGTAAAATGTAAATAATGTATTTCATTTTATTGTAATGCATTTACTGCTATCTATGTAACAGTTATAGCCTGTTTCATTGGTATCTTGGGGTGCATAATAATAACTCTTGATAGCCTGAGCCTTTTCTAATTTACAGTTTTTCATAAGTTTGTCACAAATGTATTACTGATCCCAGATCCACTGGCAAGAAATGATATTAACTGCAGTCACACAAGTGGCTGAGTTCAAATAACCTAGTTGTTCTTTCACGCTTATTTTATGTTAGCCCTGTTGAAAACAGCAGCTTAGACTAGCATGGATTCCATGCTACGCTGGTCTTACACTGGTCTGGTGCTGGTTTAGCTGGTTAGCTAGTTAGCTAGTTTAGCCCAGTAGGGCCCTATGTTCTCAGGGTCCTTTATTTGCTCATTTGAAATGACTAAGTAACTGCCCAATGTTTCTCAGGTCCTGTGTATACATGCTATGCTCAGACTTGAACGGTTTGTATTACAAAGTTTGCTTAGTTGGCTAACTAGCTCAGTGAGGCTAGCCTAGCTGAACACAAGTGTATTTCTATTAAAAAAAACCCTGTGTATGAACTCTGATAACCCCAGGATCCTAAACATGATCTTTCATAGGTCATACAAGAGACAAGAATAGCAGATTTTTTAATAGGAATGCACTTGAGTGTGGCTAGGCTAGCCTCAGGCTAGCGTAAAACCCCTGGAATCAGAGGCATCAATCTGCCCAGTGCTCTGAATGCCAAAATGAAGAAGTTCAATGAAGCAGCGGGTAAACGGCGGGTTAAGTATGACTCGTATTAAAGTTTGATGTTTTATGTAAAAAGCTAAAGGGGATGTACAGCTCTGGGAACATATAGGGTCCTGGGAACATAGGTACGCTCCCTTTTAAACAATGAATACGCATTTGTGCGTGCTTAATGATAACCAGTCTCACTCCAGGAACAGCCAAAAGCAACTGAAAATGAAAGATACAGTGATTTGAGAATCATATCAGCATTGGACAGATATTTTGATTTGACAGGCATTTCAAACCTATATTTGATGATGTATTTATTGGGCTCTTTAGGAGCAGAATGTTTAGGCCATGCTGCATTTGTAGCCCTAAAGACATAAATGTTATATATACACCGATCAGTCATAACGTTATGACCACCTCCTTGTTTCTATGCTCACTGTCCTTTTTATCAGCTCCAGCAGCACTGCTGTGTCTGATCCACTTGTACCAGCACAACACACACTAACACACCACCACCACGTCAGTGTTACTGCAGTGCTGAGAATGATCCACCACCCAAATAGTACCTGCTCTGTGAGGGTCCATGGGGGTCCTGACCACTGAAGAACAGGGTAAAAGGGGGGTAACAAAGTATGCAGAGAAACAGATGGACTACAGTCTGTAATTGTAGAACTACAAAGTGCACCTATATAGTAAGTGGAGCTGATAAAATGGACAATGAGCGTAGAAACAAGTAGGTGGTCATAATGTTATGCCTGATCGGTGTATAATGCTGATAGATGTAGCCCCATTCCTACAAATGTTTACATATCGACACTGGCAGATATGCACATGAAGAATATTGGACATAGGCATCAGCCCAGAATTCCAGTGCATCCCTACTTTAAAATAAAGTTTGTAATTTTCTGATATAAAAAAATAATAATACTGAAAAAATGGGCTAATTTTGGCCACTGCCATAATAGCAAATAGTCCAATCCATACTTCAAGCAGCTTCTTGAAAGGCAACCATAAATCGATTCTCTCTTAGGTAAGACAGCTTCTGCTTCCACTGCTGCCAGCAAAAAGGAGGGCAGGATAAGTCTGCGCAACATTTTTAGAGCTAGCTAACTCCCTCACAGCTCCTCTGGGGTTCTGTGCAACAAACACTCACAGCATTCTGTAGACCACTGACCTGTAAAATGCTGTGACCTTTACAATGGACATCGGACCCATTGGGACACCTGGAGTCACACGACCCTGATGCACATTTCCCATTTCCCTTGAGCTGGCAGATTCCAGGCATTTCAACCTCCAGCTTTTCAATTTAGGTCACACAAAGTCTGCATACCTCTTACTATGTTAGCTAGACAATGAGACTAAGAGTATGTCTCCCACCATTGGAAGGCAGGAACATGTGCAGACAACCGTTTTCAACCATCAAAGGGAAGGATAATATGTTTCTAAATGAAATTTTACAGAGGTCTGTGACCCACTTTAGCATGCTTCCGAATTGCCGAAGGGGCTTCCTGAAGATGTGCCAAAGTAAAGTAGGTTTTGGTGTCTGATTCGAATGAATGTGACAGAAGAAAAAAGCTCAAAATAAATCGCTCCTTTTACAAGCCATACACTTTGTGTTCCTTTGTGAGAGCTTTTAAATTCAGAGAAAGCAACAATGTATTCTTTGTTGGCTTGCCTGGCCTCGGCTCCACACTTTGATTATGACTACAGATAATTTATCATTGGATACCGAATTATTAGCAGCGAAGCTGACCTGGCTTGCTGGAGAAGTGCTGAAAGACTTCGGAGCAGGACACGTTGACCACCTGGCCGACATCTGCTCTGAGCCAGCACCGTATCTCATCCCACTCCGTCCTGCAGCCTGAAACACACCAGAGTGGGGGCGCATGGTCAGTCAACACAAACTGGAACACACTCAGTCTAAAGTACTGCCTCAACTACTCAATCAGGCATGCACACACACCATCCATCAGCTCGTTTTCATTCTTCTCTCAATCATCTCCTTCTGTATTTTCTGCACACTCTCAAAATAGACGTGTTAATACATTGTGCCCTTAAAGCCCCTGTTAACATGGTTTTGAATGTTTAAAATTTTGTTTTAATAGCAGTAGAAAAGATGTGTCGCAGAAACATTTACCAGTGTTATATTCAAGAAATATTCCGAGCAGCTGTTTGCTCAGAACTGTGTGGGTGTGTCAGATCACATAATTACTGACAGGGGCATCTCCCTGGTAAGGTAAACAACTCGGCTCTAGTGGCAGTAGTGAGCGACACTACCAACAATGCCAGAGATGATAACACAGCAAGCAGGATCAGTGTGGTTGAGCCCTACATGTTTGATTTTGAAGAACAAGAGCCCCATCACAGGAAAACAGACCACTTTACTCTTCTTGGCCGCTCTCTGAATGGTGAGTATAAAGTGCTAAATGGAGAACAAGAGGTATAATAGTAGTCTTAGAGATCTAATTACCCGAGGATCCCAGGATACATCACTGATCACTTTGCAGCTAATGTTTAAGAACTCAGGCTTTCACCTTATGATGAGTAGATCACAGACATATCATTTACAATATTTGAATGCTCAGAACTGAGATTATATCCATAACCTATAGCAAGCTAACTGGTCTCAGACTGAGTCCCCACAGGGGTGCCACAAGGGATTTTGGGCCCTGTGAAAAGATATCACATTGGGCCCTATCATACCACCACAAGCCACGCCCAACCTTGATAATATGCTTGAAGACAAGCATCAAGACTTTTCTCTGCACTGGCACCCAGGTGGTGGAACGAACTCCCACTGGCTGTCCGAGTCTCTCGTGGTCTTCAGACGCTGACTGAAGACACATCTCTTTATACAGCACCTAAATGAGCACTGAGTTAAGTATTCATTGTAATGTATTGTACTGCACTTATTGAAATGTATTGTATTGCACTGCACTGTGTTTAACTCTTCTTTTCTCTAGGTATCAACATGGACTTTCTAGCAGTATCTGAGCTCAGGACTGGCTTTATCTCTAATCTATTTGTAACGAGCAAAGATACTTTCTCTAGATAGACAAAGCACTTTTTGTAAGTCGCTCTGGATAAGCTGCTAAATGCTGCAAATGTAAATGTAAATAATATACAGGGAGTCCATTGGAATTATTAAATTCTTTTTAATGATAAGGATTCAAACACTAATCATTTTTCCACAATTCATTTTCAAATATACAAAACTATTTTCAGAGTTTTACAAACTCTTGTGTGTTGTGTTTGTTTTTTGTAACAAAGATATACACAAATGGCATCATGCTTGCAATTTTAGGCTAGTGAGTCTCTATTTTACAACTTTCAGTACATCGAGGGTTTAGCATGCTAACATTACCTAATTTTGAAGCCTCAGGCTATTGCTTAAAATAGACAGTTGGCTACCTACTAAGTAGCCAAGCTAACACTAGATTTTTATGTTGCTGTTGTCAAATATTGTTTGTGAGGTGCCAAATGGCATGTCATTCAACACAATGCTGCTCACCTCCTTCTTTATTTGGAAGTAGGGCTGGTATAGGGAATGGGGAGACAGGGCTGGTTCATTGGTAGGGGTATGGGGATGGAGAAACAGGGCTGGCCAATTGGTGGGGGTATGGGGATAGGGAGCCAGGCCTGGTTCATTGGTATTGGTATGGAGGTGGAGAAACAGGGCTGGTTCACTGGTATTGGTATGGAGGTGGAGAAACAGGGCTGGTTCATTGGTAGGGGTATGGGGATGAGGAGACAGGGCTGGTTCACTGGTAGAGGTACGGACTACACTAATTGATTAATTTTCACCACACATGAATTATGCCCAACTTTCTTTGTGAAAAATGAGGTGTTACTCTGGAGACAGAGAATGTTTGCGTATTTAATGTTTCTTGTATAGAACTGTAAATAGCCATGCTTTACTTGAATTGAAATTGCAGACAGCGCTACACTCGTTCAGCTAAATATCGTAAATCCACATATAACTCTTTTCTTTTCTCTCTCCTTTCTTTCTATTCATTTTTGGATGCCAGATTTTTCAGGAAGCTGAGACATGATGCTTCACCGACAGTCCTCACTCACAGTTCACTGCTAGCAAGTTCCTTTCACGCCTAGTTTGAGGGTAGGGCTGAACTTTTCATGTAAATAGAGGTGGGGGGTGGGGGGGGGGTTGTTGGGAAATACAGAGGCTCTCTGGATGTTTACTGTTTGCCAAAAGCAAGAAAAGAAAAAGAAAACATTATCTTTATAACATTTGTAAATAAAATATTCTATTAATGATGATAGGTCAATAATTAATTATTGAAAAAAATTACCTAATGTGCTAATAATGTTTTAGGGCGTCTGTCAGTCACAGGTCTATAGTATTGTCCTCAATTCTGAATTAATCTTGGGTACCTTGTAGAGCAGCCTACTGGAGGAGTGAGAATCATAGCAGCTGTTAATAGGAGATAGACAATTACACAGATAAGGAGGGAGTTTACCCAACAAGGCTTTATAAATAAAGATATACCAGTGCTACTGTCTCCTTGGGCTTAATGAAGGCTGAGAAACTAGATCATAAAGTACACAGTGATGTGGACTGAACAATGAGTTGGATATAAAACGTTGAGAACTGTGATACACAGACTGTAAGCGACAGAGTATAGAGCAGTCAGCGTGCTTATAAATAATATCCCCACAGTCTAAAACACTTAAGACCGTAACTTGTAGAAGGGTTTTCTGAGCTGCTAAATTCAGGCAGATCCTATTATGATAATAAAAACACTGTAACTTTCAACTTCATCACTAGGTTCTCAATATGCATTGTAAAAGAGAGCCTATCATCCATCCAAATACCCAGGTTGTAGGATGACACTCTTTCAATATGCCTTTAAGGTATGAATGCTAACAGAATCTGAGATCTGGGAACGAGCTCTGGAAAGGATCATGAATTTGGTTTTTCTCAGCATTTATAATCAACTTTAGACCATACAATAAGGTCGCACCTGTTGAAAGACAATCTGTAGCTCATCAAGAGCATCATCAACTGAGTAGACTGTTGTACTATCTGCATCTGTACCAAGTGCATCTAAAGATGCACTTGAGCTGTAAGCATGTCATATACAATATTATTTGTAAAAATAGAAAATAATACAGGACCTAAAATGGAACCTAGGGGGACACCCTTGGAGATCTCCAAGAAACTTGTTTTGTGACCATCTATACACACTGGGTTCTATCTGCTAAACTATTCCATGGCTTTGTCACCTATACTGATACCAATGAGTCTGCCTATCATTAAAATAGCCATTCAATCATCAAACATAGCATAGAATCACAATGTGAAAGTGCAGTGGGACCTTGTGAAACCAGAGCAACTCTGCATATCTGAAAAAGCTGTGGTGAAACTGCAACTTGTTTGACTAAGATCCAGTGACAGTATTTCAGAGCATCTACAATAACAATATTGTGTGTGTTGAATATCCTGGTATAATTAAATATATTGGAATATATGTCTATTTCAGAGATATAAGGTTTTGTTAGAACAGCGATGCTACGAACATTGATTCTTCTTTGCTAGCCCAATATAAAGTGATGATGATGATAATATAAATTCCATAGGTGAAGTGTTTTTCCCTTTTCAGTATTAATGAAATTAATTTAAAACGAAACAGTTTCTGTATGAATCCATTTTGTGCGCAGTTGCCTATGAAAAGCAATTCTGGCCAAGCTTCAGTCGCTCCTTCCCCCTGTTTGTCCACTCTGGTGTAAAATATTTCATACACTCGCCTGAAGGCCCAAGAGACTGGGACACGAACCAAAATAAACTTGACATTGGCTGATCATGGCTTCAGCGTATGTCAGTTAGTTAGTGATGTCACTGAACATTCATCAGATGGTCACTTATTTTGGGACTTTTGCTTAAAGGTCAGTGTGCTCCTGTTTATTAATTGGTATATACTGAGTAATGTGATATACAACAGGTAGCTGGTGAGCAGATTAGAGGTCTATACGTAAATAAATAAAAGATAGATAGAAGCTAAGGGAGGCTATTCCCCCTAAAGGGAAAATCAAAAAAAAAGCTTCTGCTTTGAGGACACTGAGCCTGAAGTTTTCTGCAGGACGACCTAGATTGGAAATTTAGAGGCGCCACATTTATTTTAGATGGTCAGTTTTGGAAATGGAGCATCAGCCTCAAAAGATCTATGGGAGAAGACATCTTGTTGACGAGAATAACCGAATTGGACTTAAGATCCAACAGGCAGAGGCCCACGTGGGTTCAAACCGCACTCCTCATATGGCTCATGTAAGGAGCTTGATGCAGACATAATGCATGATTTCCAAAGTGTAGGTATTATAAAACTGAATTTGGGTGTTAGGTTATATGATACTATCAAACTCACCAAAAATAATTGATCTTGGATTCAAGAAAAGTGCCTTACATGGAAATGTGACACATAGAGCTTCATCATAAAGAAAACATGGGAAAATGTTCAGGGCTTTGAAGACAAGCCTCCACATTAGAGCGTATTGAGTGCTTTTAGTGGCCAGTGGGCAGTGTGCGGTGCACAGACGCATCTCTGTCCCCGCTGAAGGGAAATCATGTCATTTGTAAAGCCTGCAGTTAAAACAGGGTCAAGTCTGCCTAAGGGAGACATTTTTCTGGCAGTGTTTTTAGATGGACCAATTGGCATGTTATGATGAGCTACACGGATGACTGAGTTACTAAGCAAAAAAGGCACCAGGCTAAAGGCACCTTAGCAAGGTCTTTTAGATTAATATTGATGCTGCACCCACATATAGCCACAAAGCAGACTAAGGTAACACTTTGTGAGATTCAACATTTGTACCAGGCTATGACAGCAACATTTGAATTAGGACTGCACAATATATGACCTTGTTTCCAAAAAAGTTGGGACGCTGTGCAAAATGTGAATAAAAACAGAATGAAATGGTGTGCAAATCATTTAAACCCTATATTTAATTAAAAATAGCACAACGACAACAGATCAAATATCGAAACTGAGAAATTTTATTGTTTTTTGACATATACGCCCATTTTGAAGTTGATGCCAGCAACATGTTCCAAAAAAGTTGGGACGGGGGCATGTTTACCACTGTGTTTCATCATCTCTTCTTTTAACAACACCCTGTAAGTGTTTGGGAACTGAGGAGACCAATTGCTGTAGTTTTGAAAGTGAAATGTTTTTGCATTCTTGCTTGATATAGGACTTTAGCTGCTCAACAGTTCAGGGTCTTCTTTGTTGTATTTTTCATAATGCACCAGTGGACGGCAAGCAGACCAGTTTAGCACCCAAACTCTTTTACTACGGAGCCATGCTGTTGTAAAACCTGTTGCTGCCAAGTCAAAATTAATTAATATATTAAAAAAACAATAATATTTCTCTGTTTCAACATTTGATATGTTGTCTTTGTAATATTTTCAAATAAATATAAGGTTTAAATGATTTGCACATCACTGCATTCTGTTTTTCTTTACATTCTGCACAGCATCCCAACTTTTTTGGAAACAGAGTTCTCTGTGGATTTACGATATTTAGCAGAATGATAGTGTAGCACTGTCTGCCATTTCAGCTCAAGTAAAGCACGGCTCTACAGTTCTATACAAGAAACATTATGCAAACATTCCCTGTCTCCAGAGTAACACCTCATTTTTCTCCTAGTTCTAGTCAAACACCCCCAGAGTCTCTACCTGCTTCCTCTAACACCATTAACATCCGCCATCTGGGTCAATTAGCCCAGTCGCGAGCATTCCTCCTGTCTCTCGCTCCGGACGTCGACGCCCACTAACTCACTTCTATTCATAGCGCCTTAATTCATCCAGCCAGTCTACTGGGAGAGATGAAATCGGCGTGAGCCGCAACTCATTTCAGATTAACAATGCCTCTGTAAATCACTTTGGAGATTAGGCCTGACGGTTAAGACCCTTTCACTGGGAGAATTTCCCACCGGCTCCTCTCAAGCTGCCTGTCCTTTTACCTCAGAAAAGCAGTCACTCTGCTTTATTCCTTTGAATAAGACAAGCATCAAACAGAGCGGCTTCACAGACATTTATGCCATCATGTAATGCAAATTCGAATGCAATCTCTTTTCTGTCTGGAACCATGAAAGGAAAGAAAGGATTGGAGAAATTGACTGTGTCATGCGTACTTCGTCTCGTTGTAGTTGGAAACAGATTCAAACTTCTTTATGCTGTCTGCTGCCACTTTTTACTTCCAATATGTACATTTGGATTTAAACCTGAATGCTTAAAAAAAGACGCCGGCATCCAGCAAGCTAATCTCCATGTGTAGCATGTAGGTGATGACTATGAATAATCATTTCTACATGTGTCCTTCTCCTCTACTAGAACTGAAAATCCCATTGATACAAAAGACACTTCCAATAGAAGTCAATGGGCAGTTGCTGTGAATATTCCAGCAAACATTCCTTTAACAATGACCTGAAAGCTGATATTTACCTCTGGGAACACAGAGCTTAGTTAAAATTAATTCATACTTCATCCCGAGAAGCAACATCCTGTCATGTTCAATTAAAGTAACATGAATAAGACCCTCTCATCACAGCTAACTGTACATAATCGGGTAGAGTGAACTGGGGCGAAGCCCTTGCTTGATGACATATCTGTTACAATGGCACATAAACAGTTCTGTGCAAAAGTCAAACACCACACTTAATTTACTTAACTGCCATTCAAAATGACCATGATCTGATTCATTTTTTTCAATTTCATAGCTGAAGCATCAACAACTAAATATAATATCAGTTTTTTAAAGATTTAGTGTTTCCATGCTTCACTTTTGTAACAGCTTCCATCCTTTTTAGGAGACTTGCTTTCAGTTTTTCAAAGGAATCTGCAGGGATATTTTTCCACACCTCCAAAGTTCAGTCTTAGAGGTTGTTTGCATTTTCTGCTTCTCACAATCCAATTAATCAAAACTATTCAACAATGTTGAGGTCTGGACTCTGGGGTGGTCAGTCTATTGCTCTGAGAACAGTAGCAGCTTCTTTGCTTGATTTGCAAATTTTCTTCTTCTTTGTCTATTTTCTTTTCACAGTGGGGGCTTCTTGACAGCTACACATCCTTTCAGACTCACAGTGTTGAGGATGGACAGAAAGACCTGTGGATTTTTTCAGATTTAAAGTAAGAGTGGAGCTTGATTTTCTCCTCTCTCTCAAGGATGAAAGCTTTAAGTGCTGTTTATCTGATGGTGACAGTTTTGGTGTCTACCACGTGTTGTGCAGTTGTTAGGAGTCCCATTTTCTCTGTCTCTTTTAAAACATAATTAATTGTTTTTAAATCCACTGTTGAAAACTCAAGGGGTTTACCCAACAAGGCTTTATAAATAAAGATATACCATTGCTACTGTCTCCTTAGGGTTAATAAAGGCAGAGAAACTATAACTAACTTTAACCTCAACCCAAAACCTAATCTTAACCCTAAACCTGGCCCTAATGCTAACCCCAACCTTAACCTCAACCCAAAACCTAATCCTAACCCTAACCCTGGCCCTAATCCTAACTTTAACCTCAACCCAAAACCTAATCTTAACCCTAAACCTGGCCCTAATGCTAACCCCAACCTTAACCTCAACCCAAAACCTAATCCTAACCCTAACCCTGGCCCTAATCCTAACCTTAACCTCAACCCAAAACCTGATCCTAACCCTCATATGTTTTTGGCATGTTACTGAGAGCCTGTTGAGTGTTTATTTCAGCTAAAAAGGACCATTCAAAATAAAGTGTCACTGACCCTTGTTCTCATTTGTGTAACTCAACAGTATTCGGCATGTATATGCAAATGATTCCGACGTTTCCTATTATGTATTCAAGATACTCTCTCTAATATTTTGGGAAAATCTGTACACAAAGATCAGTGGACTTACCTTTTACTTGATGACTCTGCAGAATTGTTTTCTACTCATCCAAAAGGATTATTTTGGCAGGCCTTACAGCACCCAAAAAACAATTCTGAAAAAACCCTCTGTTCCTGCACATCTTATTTTAAGGCCATCACTCTTCTGGAATGTACAATGACCAGGACAAATAAGGCTAAACCAAGAACAACTGTATCCTGGTCACATTCTGAGAAAGAACTGTTAAAAATAACGAAAGCTTAATGACTTTCATTAACTTTCTCTTTCTCTTAGGATCTTTTTCAAGAACACATTTAAGAAAAAACTTAGGAAGATATTGGTGAATGAGGCCCATTGCACTTCAAAAAAGGACTGATTCAGTGGGCTCTTTCTTGTTGATGTCATATTAATGGTTTCTGTGGCCTAATTGGATTTGTATTCTGTCCTCACTAGAGTAAGACAGGCACTTAGCTAAGCTAACAGCCTCCAATGATATTCAGAGACAGAATATGTTACCTGAATGATGGTTATGAGCTTCAAATGTCTGTGTTTTATCCAGAGAGCTGCTCTAAATATTAACCTCCATTACCTTGGTACTAACACTACACTGAAAACCCCATTAGCGCTAGAGGAAATTAGCATCTTAATGGTGACAAACTAGTAAACAAAAAGTTTCGGCATTGAATTTTGATGTACTTTGGCTGGCACATGCCCTTGACTTGTGACTTGTGATTGTATTTGTCTTTTGGCACAAACAAGTGAAACACATATGGCCTCAATACTGTGCTTAGCCATGGATGAGCTGTCCAACACAGCACACTGACCACATCCCTAACCCCACCCCTTCTGCTGAGACAGGCAATGAAAGCAGTGGTCATTAGCATATGACCAACACAAAATGAGCTGTTCTTGAGTAAATGATAGAGTAAAACACATCATATTGCTGTTGTATGAAGAAAACCTTGTATCTCCAAAATTATAACTTTACAGGAGAAGGAAAAAAACGTCTTCACTTTTAATGTAAGTCACTGGAACCTGACTTTTTTCCAAGTAATTTTGGTCCATTTCCTTTGGTCCATTCTTCATGAAATTTACACACAATGTAAAGGGCAACAGGCATTTTCAAATTACATCAAAAACTTCCGACAACAGCAATATGGAGATTCAGTTAATGGTTGTCTTTCACAACATGGCACGTGGAATTATGTTAAAACGTAAAAACAGAGTGAAACATTTCTCCTTAAAGGCTTCAGTATTGGTATCAGTCACAGAAACAAAAGCTGGTGCTGTGTTGGCCCATCTCTACTACGTATGTTTTGTTTAAAGGATAATTCCCATTGAATGTGTAATTTAATCCAAATAACTGACTCATAATCTCCAAAACGAGTTCTTGGGATCATGAACTCTATAGCTGATGCGTGGATGAGATTCACTGTCATGGCAGATCCAAGCCCAGTGCTACACTATACTTCCTGCAGATCCAAGATGACAAGAACATGCTACATTAACAGAGTTCTCTACAGGGATTTAACTAAGATGAATGTTTAATATTTTATATATAAAAATGTAGTTCTAGGCACAAACAGTACTAGAGACACATGGCTGAATGAGACTGTATCTGCAGTGAAGTGAGAAGGTTGTATGCGTACCTTGTGGTTCAGTCTGGTTCTTGTTCTCTCTCCACCTGGTCTGATTGCAGAGCTCCTGGGCCCTCATATGCTGGGATATAATGGCACAGTCCGGGTGGATGGCCTGCATCTATAAAGGCACAATCAAAAGATGAAATCAAGACAGGAATAGACCTACTGAAGTCTGTGAACTACGGTTGACTGAAAGGTGGTCAGATTCTGATAACCTTTGCTGGACTTCTCACATTAATCAATGTCTGATCGCATGGATCGCTCCTCTGTCTGATCTGAATGTCTCTGTATAATGTTTAATCATATTTTGTTACTCTTGAGAATAAAAGTTAAGAATAGTTCTTGGTTTGGACATTCAGTTCCAAAACTAACCTTACTGGTATAGAGCAGTGGTCCCTAATCCTGACCTTGGAGAATTGCCTTCCTGCGGAGTCCAGTTCCCACCACAATCTGCCGCACCTGCTCCATCTAATTAACTTTTTCAGAAGTCCCTGGTTGGATCAGATGTTCAGGTTAGTGTTAGGCAAGGTTTTTTTCTTTTGAGTCAGGTTCCTTTCAGTGTTTCCACCTCATGCTCTTAGAGAGTTTTTCCTTTTGAGTCGTGGTTCCTTTCTTGTGCTGTTAAAGAGTTCTTTCTTTTGAGTCTTTGTCCTTTTCTTGGTTTGTTCCTCATGTTCTTAGGGAGTTTCTCTTTTTGAGGCTTGGTTCCTCTCTGTTCCTTCTTCATGCTCTTAAGAAGATCTTTCTTTTGAGTCTTGGTTCCTCTCAGTGGTTCTTCCTCATGCTCTTTGGGACATTAACCCCTTGTGAGTCTGGGTTCATCACTGTGTTTCTTCTTCAAGCTCTTAGGCAGAAGTGGTCGTTGCACTAGGCCAGCAGTCAGCAACCCAAATGTTTAGAAGAGCCATTTTGTTCTTTCAACAAAAATCAAACCACCGTGGGAGCCACAACATTTTTTGTCCATTTTATTGAAGTAATGTTTTACCATCTTGGCTGTAAATAAGTCTCAGTATGTACTAGTATAGGCAAAAAAATATAAATGAAAATGCAGACTTACTTTGCTCTGCTTTAAGCTTTAGCTCAGCTATTCTCTCAGCTTTTCTCACATCTCCATCAGGATGCTTTTCCGCAAAGTGGAATAGTTTCTTGGAAAATGTCTTTTAGTGTTTGATTTTTTATGAGGCTGAAGTCAGCTCCTCATTCGCCAGCTTCTTGTTCGAATTCTCCCGTCTTGCCTTAAATGGCGCCTGAGTTGCCAGAAGGTACTTGCTGCACCATTTAAGGTGGAATGGGAAAATTCAAACAAGCAGCTGGCGGCTTTTTAGTATTTGACAGTTTCTCGTTTCAGATTAACCATATCAGAAACCATCTGGAGTGATTATAAATGCAAATTAGTACATTTATCTGCAAATTATCGATGTTCCTCTTAAATCTTTCTTTTTGTTACTTTTTCATTGTCTACTAGCTAGGTGAGATTGTTATCTGCGCTGCTATGGTGACCAGCAGTCTGCGTGCCAACCTTCAGGGTTAAAGGGTGAATTAGCAGTTATATATTAACTCCAGCGTTTAAGACTATTTATTGTTAAAACTGTTAGATAAGCAGAGCTTTATTTTACTGCAAAGGAGGATTATTTTATTTTACCTTAACATCTAATTGTGCTGCGGAGCTGCAACAGGACAGTAAAAGAGCTATATGAGCCAGGTGTTGCCCCCTGTGCTAGGCAAAAATGTGCAGCCGCCTAGGGCCCCCATGAGCCAAATAAAAATTAGATTTACTGTATGTGTTGATGTTCAATAATCTGTTCTGAAATATATACGAACACATTATAAAAATAGCTGTTATTTCCAATTGTAGCTATTCTTTTCAGTCATTTCAATGCAGCCACACCCACAATTATAATTGTCTAGTCCATGTTGTTACGTGACACAACCATGTGAAGACAGACCGGTATGAAAAACACACTGATCTACATTTTGGAAAGGAGGTTCTTCGCTGTGATTTTCTGAGCATTGAGATGGAACTTCAAATAAAAGTTATCCAAGTGCAGCAGAGAAACACAAAAATAACAGCAAACGTCGTATCACAAAGCCTTCAGCAGGTCCAAACTGGAAACATCAAATACAAGGGCCAAGTCAAACTGTAAACAAACCACAGACCTATCAGAAAAAAATAGCTCAAGACTTCAGCTAAAATGGGAGAGGTTCCGTGCTGCGCTATTATGTTGGGCAGATTGGTTTTATCTGCTACATTGTATCTGCTAAGTCTACTTAGCTAGCTGGCTAAGTATCCCTTCACTGATACAAAAAAACTGTATTCATTTACCTTCAAAACAATCCCAAAAATGAGGAATATTAGGTATTAATATTAGACATCACCTGCCAAGACATATATTTTTTGCAGCATAAATATGTCAGATATGCCGGATATACTTTTAAAATGTGCATCCAGGGGCCCCATTCCTCTCTTTGCGTAGAGCCCCAGAATCACTAAATCCACCCCTGTCTATAGGGCGCTCTTTCTTTTGAGTCTTGGCTCCTCTCTGTATTTTTCATCATATTCTTAGGGAGTTCTTTCTTCTTAATCTTGATTCCTCTCAGTGGTTCTTCTTTGTGCTCTTATAGAGCCTTATTTTTGAGTCGAGGTTCCTCTCAGTGGTTCTTCCTCATGTTCTTTGGGAGTTTTATCCTTGTGAGTCTTGATCCCACCCTGGTTCTTCCTCATTCTCTGAGGAAGTTTGAGTCTTGGTTCTTCTTAGTGTTTCTTTTTCATGCTATTGGGGAGCTTTTCCTGACACGCTCTCCCTCAGCTTTGGAGGTCTCGACCCACATTTCTGTAAAGCTGCTTTGGGACTGTCTGTTGTGAAAAAGCGCTACATAAATACATTTCAGTTAAACTGTATTAAATTTTAGAGACTCAAGTGAGACAAGTGATTGGAGTCTATGCATGATTTACTAGCAGGCTGTAGCAAAACTTCCCATAAAAAAGGAAAGGGAGGGGTGGTTCCAAGGGTGTCGTTCTCTAGATGCTGATTAAGAAAGAATACAGTTCAATTCATCCAATCCATCAAAATATCTGGAGCAGTGAAATGCAAATATAATCAAACAGCAGCCATTCATCATCTGCAGATAAAGTCAACTGAAAAGGTCACAATAGATAAAATATAGTTACTGGCACCATAATTAATTGATGAAACAGGGGTGATGCTTCATTTCAAGCTGCAGTCACTGACAACATAGAGGCAGCAGCAGCATTTAACTGTCTTAATACTTAAGTGTCTAAATCACTAAAGGAAGGGTGTAGGTCATGTCTGGAAGTTCACAGGCCAAGCTATGAATCCTGATTTTGGCAGTCAATGATATGTGGAACAACATTTTACAGCCTTTTGCGGTTTGATAAAGGATTTTTGCTTGTAAATAATGCAGCAAAATCTCTCTGATTATGACTCATCATGGGTTATAGTAGTTGTTCTTGGCAATGAAGGTATGAATGAACTTATGAATCAAATTTAATGTTAACATAAATTACACTACAATGTCTTTAAACTAGCCTACATACAGTAAACCTGTAGCATTTACAGCTACTTTGTCAAGTAACTTTCAACTATTTGGATAAACAGGGTCGAGCGTGATTCTCATGCATACTCAACACGTTTAATGTAAGCAAAAATTACACTACAAATCAAATACAATGCCTTTAATCTAATCTATATGTAGAAAAGGGTCAACATATAAGCATGTACATACATATAGATGTTGTCAGAACAAAACCTCAACTTTAAAGCAGAAGGAAAAAACATCCTTTACTTTTAATGTAAGACAGTGAAAGTAGGCTTTTCTTTTGGTTCACTCAGCATGAAATTTACACAGGTTTTGTTTCAACAACAATGATATATATATATATATATATATATATATATATATATATATATATATATGTTGTGTGTGCATTTCATGATGAGTGAACCAAGAAAAGTCTACTTTCATTGTCTTACATTAAAAGTAAAGGATGTTTTTTCCCTTCTGCTTTAAATTTATACTATTAACTATATATACTATATGCCTTTTACTATGAATAGGTTAGTTACTGTGTATCTGGTTTAGTGTTACATATACACCTATATATCTATATCTATCTATCTATCTATCTCTCTCTCTCTCTCTCTCTCTCTCTCTCTCTCTCTATATATATATATATATATATATATATATATAGTTTTACACGGTGTATATATATGGCTTTCAGTGCAAAATGCAAAAATACTCAAGCCTATTTCTATCAGCTAAACAATGCTCAAAAACGCTATTCTTTTGTTTATGTGTAAACTTGACAACTGCAGCTAATATCAGATGTATAATCTATGCATGTATAGCTGAAACATTTGCGTAAAGCCTTTTTAATAAAACAAAAGTTACAGAAGGAACTTACAGCTCTCCAAAAAGTGGCAAACATCCAGAGACAAAGCGCGTCCATGTTCAAACGAGCCCTCATATTCAGTAAAATCCCGTTCTGTCGTAAAATCTGCTGTGAAAGCGTGCTGGGCTGTCTGAGGCGATAAATCCAGCCAGAACGTGGAGCGCGGACGCTCGCGCGGACGGCTTTGCGCACGCGGACCCTCGGAGCATCTTCACGAGCGAATCCCAACTCAAAGCTGAAGAGTGTCACAGTGGTGATGATGCGGCTCGCGCGCATGTAAGGGCTCGGACGCGTCTGCGTGCAGGCGTGTATAGGCGATGTTAGACTCTTATTCGCCAGCTTCTCAGTCGACTTTTCCGCTCTACCTTAAATGGCGTAGTCGTTGCATAGTCCTCTAAGCACCAGAACGGTATTGATGCACTATTTAAGGTGGAGCGGAAAATTCGAGCATGGAGCTGGCCAATACGAAGGTTCGTGGCCAGCCCACGTTTGTCTGTGGTCATACGGGGCAGTGAGACAGGTATTTCTGTCGTTCACAGTTTATGCGGAGTGTTTGTTTCTGCCTGTCAAGAATAAAATTGAGTGATATTCTTTCAAAGCTTTGCATTGAATTTACTTGATTTGATGTCCAGACGTATCCCATCATCCATGACATTGAAACCACCTCCTTGTTTCTGCGCTCTGTCCATTTTATCTGCTCCACTTACCATTAAGTGCGCTTTATAGTTCAACAAATACAGTCCATCTGTTTCTCTGCATACTTTGTTTCCCCCTTTTACCCTGTTCTTCAAAGGTCAGGACCCTCATAGAGCAGGTATTATTTGGGTGGTGGATCATTCATAGCACTGTAGTGACACTGACATGGTGGTGTGTTAGTCTGTGTTGCACTGGTACAATGGATCAGACACAGCAGTGCTGCTGGAGTTTTAAACACCTCAGTGTCACTGCTGGACTGAGAATATCCAGCTAATAGCATCCTGTGGGCAGCGTCCTGTGACCACTGATGAAGGTTTAGAGGATGACCAATACAAACTGTGCAGCAACAGATGAGCTACTGTCTCTGACTTTACATCTACAAGATGGACCAACAAAATAGGTGTGTCTAAGAGAGTGGACAGTAAGTGGACACAGTGTTTAAAAACTTCTGATCCCCTCGTAGCAGCACAACACGCTCTAACTCATCACCCCTACATCAGTGTCACTACAGTGCTATGAATGATCCACCACCCAAATAATACCTGCTCTGTGGTGGTCCTGTAGGGGTCCTGACGAACAGGGTAAAAGGGGGCTACAAAGTATGCAGTGGAACAGATTGACTTCAGTCTGTAGAACCGTAAAGTGCACCTGTGTGGTAAGCGGAGCTGATAAAATGGACAATGGTTGTAGCATTTTGTACCATTTTGGATGGTAAATAAAATGGCTGTATTTACATTGCAGACCCCTGGTTCCTATCACCACCCCTGTAAAGAAATCTGAGTCTGTAAGTTTATCTTTAACAGAGCAGTTCACATCAAACCACTCGGAATGTTTTGTTTACGCCTCAACCACTGAATTATGCAGACATTTGGAAAAATTGGTGGAATTCCCCTTTTAAGGTGCACCCATTGCTGACACAGGTGTTCAACTTTGCACACAGCTTGTATAATCTCCATAGAAAAGCATTGCCAATAGAATGGGATGCTTTGGAGTAGCTGTATATGAGCCTAAGATCACCAAGGCCAATGCCAAGCATCAGAGGGTATAAAGCTCATTTAGATTGGACTGAGCAGTGGACCTGCATTCTCTGGAGTGATGGTGTACCATACAATCCCTTTGAATTGAGCTGGAGTGGCATTTGTGATCCAGAACTAATGTTCCAGCATCTAGTGCTGCTAGAAGAGCAGAGGCTGTTGCAGCAGCAAAGGAGGGACAAACTCCTTTTTAATACCTTAATTCAACAGATTATTTCCAACCCTACTTATACATTATTCATGTTTTGCTACAGTTTACCACATGCATGCTGCTTGCACAATGCAAAAATCAATACAATATTACTAAACACTAAAAAAAAATTGACTCATTCGGCCATTTAGAGACTGGTTTGGTTATCAGGAGCTGTTTGGTAGAACTCTACCAGAATGCTTAAAAAGGAAAGTAAAGTCAATATCTCACTGTGGCACCCCTCTTTTCTTCAATCACTGAACACTTAACAAATCAATAGAGCTGTGGCTGACTCGTGAGGGTGTTGGAACCCTTTGGGCAAACCCTATGTGGATTAAAAGCCACTCTCACACTTTAGAGAAGTGCGTGCCTGTGGGGATCTTATTTTAATCTTCTATTGCATATCTTAACGTATGGAAGTATGTTAATTAAGCAAATAAATAAAATAATGCAGCCAATGGCTAAAATAATCTCCATAGTAAGGCATTACCAACAGAATGGGACGCTCTGGTGAAGTCACATACAAGCTCAAGAACAATAAGGCCAATACCAAGTTCTGGATAGAGGGGTATAAAGCCCCCATGCATTGGACTGAGCAGTGGAACTGTCTTCTCTTGAGTGATGGAGCACCATCCGATACCTTTGGAATGAGCTGGAGAGGCGCTTGTGATCCAGAACTGATATTCCAGCATCTAGTGTTGCTAGAAGAGTAGTATGCAGCAAGTATATAAAAGTAACTTATATACTTATTTAAACCTATATAAACTGCTGTAGGCTGAATAACTGGGTATATGTAAATGCATTGCTGTTCATTTCATGACATCACAAGAATGATGAAATAAACATAGGCTGTTTTTGTAGCTTAGTTTCTTTTTATGGGCTGTATGGATTGGGTGTGAATGCTACTTTTGAAACCGTATAATGTTTACATTCTACATCAAGCTCTTTCATTAAAAACACTGAGGATTTTTTTTGTGATATGGGCCCTTTAAGGTATTTGGTAGGGCTGTACAACATGGATATAAAATGCAAAATTATATCACAGTGAGAATATGAGAAGCGATCAGTTAGTATTAAATTTAATCTGACTGGATGTGCTGCATGAACAGACTTTTTTGCTGTGTAAACATGAATGTAACCTTCTCTTTTAAGCAAATAGCAAACCCACAAAATTACAAAATCACCATTTACGAAATAAAAATGATGAAACTCTAATAACTACTTATATAAGATGCTTTGTGTACTGTATGGCTGACCAGAGTGAATGTGACAGATGTGAAGCACTGCTCTTATGAAGCATCGAAAGCTTTGACTGCTAATGGCGCCTACTTGTGGAGAATTTGTAGCCTGCAAAACCTGAGTGGGTCCCATGAGGTGCTTCAGCCTAAAAAGTCAAGTCAAGTCAAGCCAAGTCAAGTCTTGACTTAAGTCTAAAAAGAGTCGGGATTCCCTGAAAAGCTTGTTCTGTTTATGTTTGCGGTTGCAATATGTACATTTTTCATTTAAATATTGTACTACAGAAATAAATAAATATAACATTGCTGTTGGAACAAAACCTCATATTTCCAAAAAGAAAAACATTCTTAACTTTTAATGGAAGTTAATAGGACAAGATCATACTGGACATCATTTTGGATGATTTCTATTGGTCCATTTATCATCACATTTTGACACAATGTATAGACCAAGTTTTGAAATCATGTGAAAAAATGACCAAAAAATGCTCCTTTTGATGATGCAGATTTGTTGTGACAGTAGCCATCATTGATTCATACATTTTATCATACAATCAATGCATTTAAATACACTACATTAAATACATGCATTAAACTACATTATGAAAGTAGCCATAACATTTTAAGCATTTTTACAGGCTAATAATTCAGGATAGAGTACTGTTGAGCTGTGCACATGAGCGCTTTGTGTGTAGCTGAGTGGTTAAATCACTTATTCTCTATGTGGGCGAGCAGGATTTAAGCCCAGCACAGGGAAGTACTTGTTGCACTTGTAATGTTACGTTCCAGCCATGTAACGTCACTTTGACACTACGTGTGTGAATTAATTTGTGCCGTTCTGTCTTCACAGCCCTTAAAAATGTGTTTCATGCGGAAACACGCCGTGGTAATGATAGAAATACTACTTATTGCACTGCCCTGTTATCAGGCTAACTCAGAGAATTCAGTTCAACTTCATTTTTCCCCACAGGGCCATTTTAAAGTAGGCTTAAAACATAGAAAACATAACAAGATGTAAAAGTACATGGGATAACCACATAAATAGATAAACAAAGATAAAATATAGAACCAGCTCCACTTGCCAGAATCCTAACCTTACCCTTTATTATAAGAGAAGACTGCATTACTGACCTCAGATCAGAATACCAAGAACACCTCAAACACCACAAGGTAGGCCTTACATTTTCCCGGTTTAGCAGCTGTGGCGAACGCATTACAGTCGGCTGAACTGGACTCAAAGTCATGTTTAATGGCTTTAACATTGTAATGATACTGAAGGCTGAGGGAGGCTTTGATGTTCATGACAAAACCTTTGCAGTACCAAGATAAGTCCACCACTGGGAAAACCCATATCTCCACTTTACTTTGATCTTTACAAGCTTTTGCAGTAGTGAGTAATGATGTTCCTGGAATGAAATCTAATAGCAGCCTACCAGGAGCCAAACCTAAAAAAAAAGATTTACATGTAATCCTTCAGAATACATCTCCAATAAACTGCAAGTTGGAGCAATTCGGCTTGGCTTCAGGACGGCTTCTACTACTGTTTTTAGCTATGTGGGGTTGAAGGTAAATGTGTGATGATTTAGGCCCGAAACATACTTCATGCAAGGATGCGAATGCAGACACGTCAAGCTACGCAAATGATGAGGCACATGTGGCTGCGTTCTAATATGTGTCACGACGCATTTCATAACGCAACGCCAGCGCGAGCTGCATTCTGAGTCTTGTAGCAAGGGACGCTAAAACATCAGCCAAGCCTGACCTTGGTCTTGTACCACCAGCATGCTTTATCAACTGCCATGGCAGATGAGCAGTTGAGTCTCACGCAAAAATGGCATGAAAATATGATTAATTATCGCATTTCCACTACATTCAAAGCAGCACTATGTAGCATTGGGGATT